AGAAGTTATTCACGCTAGATTATCCAGAAACCGGCGATAATTCCAAAACCAAAATTTTGGGCGTGAATTTGTCGCTGCCATTCATAAATCATCGTCTAAAACCAGATGACGTATAGTTAACTTTCGCTCAGGATGTTAGTCATCGTATCAATCTCAACGCTGAAAGATTTCGTAGTTATTTTGTTGAACATGAAGGAAAACAAGTAATCACAATTTTTTGCTGATGATGTTTTAAAATATGCTAACAACATTCTTGAAGGTAATTGGCCTGAAGTTATTTATCACTTGAAAACACAACTTTGGAGAAAATCAAAAAAGTGGATCTCTCAAAAATTCTGGAGCGTGATTTCTCGACCAGCACAAAAACAGCAAGTCATGTCATTCTTTTAGACGCTCTAAAGAAATATTTCAGCTACAAATTCATGTTTACATGTGGCATTTCAAAAAGTGACTTTGGAAGAGTCTCAAGAAGACTGGACTCATTCAAGAAAAAGTTGTAAAACTTTGTAATCTTGGTCTAGATACAGACTTTTGGCTTGATCGTCTTGAGCCGATTATTCGGATACTTATCGCGGAGAAATCGACGAAAAATTTTATGTTTTTGACAGAGCTTTGGATTGGGTAGACCAACTTGTTGGACTGGGTGGATAACAGCATTCTTTCCATATGATAAATGTGGTGAAAAAATCACACAAAGCAGCATTAATACCAGTAATATACCGGTCTGTGTGCTTTCAGTACTGATATAGGTCTGGACTTGAGTTTTGTTGCCGGCTTTTTGGATGCCAGACAAAGAACTCGTTGCGAGTGAAGTGAAGTTTCCGTTTTCTTTTTGATTGGGTGGCTCGTTGTTGATCAGGATAAAGATGAAAAAATGACGAGCCAATATAATCGCGCGAATTTAAATACATGTAATAGCTTTCCAATCGAGAAATTTGAAATATCAATTCATGCACACAATTTTGAATCATTATATGTTATTAGATATCTATATTATTTGTTCGAATAAAGCTTTATCAAATTTAACCGATTGTAATAATAAAATCCCGTTTTATCACTTATACTGAATTTATGAAAAAAATCTATATGAAACTATTTTGGCCATATTAATAAGAGTACTGATAATTTCAAAATCAGAATTTTCCATGGATTAAGGCTTCCCTAAGTGCACACTCCGGCACAATCATGCCAAAAACTTTACAAAGATTTATTGCATCATTTTTGGTATCTGAAAGTAAAGAGCAACTTTACCCATTCGTAATTCG